GATTTCAGTAGACAGCGTATTTTATGACAATAAACCAAAAGTAGCAAAGTTAACCAATGGGGCAATTTTGGAACTTCTCAACTATGGAAAATTAAAATCGCTAAGAACTAATTTAGACGTCTACCATTTTGTGTGCCGACTGCAACAGTGACATCGGCATCCACCACCGAGCCTATTGTTATAGTACCAGACGTACCCATCGCTACAGTACCAGAACATCAAAGGTATAGGAAAGATTTACAACAAACAAAAGAAGTCAACAGACAATTGAAAAGGAAAATAGATAGAAGAGATAAATCAATTACCAGAAAGATATCATCAAAAATTCAAAAGGTAGATAAAACAGCATCAGATCTGGACAAAACTTCAAAGTTCATAATTGGAGAAGACATTCCATTTAGATCTCCAATGGACAGTAGTGATGTTATTCTAAACTTTTTAATGAATCCAGACGAAAGTGTTGACCCAATTGTTCTATCTTTGTTACAGTCGTTATTCACGTCAATGAAAGAATTACTATGCAGAATGGTTCCAGAACATTTAATTGGTGGAAAATTTTAGGATCCATCAGAATCTTTGAGGGAAAAACAGTTTCTGCCAAAAAACATAACAAACTGCCAGAGTTCATATTTGGCCAACTGGACCATCTAATTTCATTCCGACCAAATGCTTCGCTACTTGCTAATGAGGCTTACATCATGTTTGCCTTCAACAAGACATCTTTATGGCTAAAGGAGCTTCCAACTAAAGAATTTGAAAAACTCATGGATGAATCTAGAAAAAGGGCAGAAATGTTCGTGCAGAGTTTATTCAGAAATTGAAAAAGCAGGCGTTTGAATAAAGAAAGCGGAAGACGTTACGAATAATATATACTCAGCCAAATTAAAAACTTGACACTGATGAATTTCAACAAAATTTTTTTTCTGATAAGTCAAATAAATTTTAAAGTGTTTCTAACGATAGTAAGTAGTAAGAAGCATTTAATTTCATAAAATTGTAAAGTCACGTGGATCACGTGACTTTTGAGCATATAAAGATGAAAAACACGTGCAAACACAAACTCGTGAGGTCAATCGATGCAAGTTTGCTTAAACTGAACACGCACACGTAACTTGAACTGAAAAAACAAATTAAAATTGTTATTTTCATTTTTGTTAGAAAATGCCGCGCCTTTCAAATGTAGAACGTCTACGTGCTATAGGTAGGCTCTATGCTGGTCAGTCTGTGGTCACTGTTGCAAGCGCTTTTAATTGTTCACGCCAGACAATAATTAATCTTAGAATGAGAGTGCTTCAAACTGGAACTATTGCCGACCGCCCAAGGGCGGGAGCGCCACGTGTGACGTCACTCCAGGAAGATCAAGCAATACGATTACGTCATCTTAGAAACAGATTTGTCACTGCAACCTCCACAAGTAGAGAGATATTTGGTGGAAGGGTAACTGCACAAACTGTTCGAAATCGCTTGCAGGCTGCTGGTCTTCGAGCTCGGAGGCCCTATAATGGACCAATATTGACACCTCTTCATCGCCGTAACCGACTTGTGTGGGCCACAAGACACATAAGATTTACCCAAAGACAGTGGAATTCGGTTGTCTTTAGTGACGAATCTCGATTCACTTTGAGGTTTGCCGATGGCAGGGTCCGAGTGTACCGCAGACGAGGTGAACGTTACGCTCAAGTATGCGTCAGGGAAGTTGACCGATTTGGTGGCGGCAGCGTCATGGTTTGGGGTTCTTTTTGTGCACATGGACGTTCTCCTCTTGTTGTCCAAGGGAACTTAAATGCTGTCCAGTACAGGGATCAGATTTTGCAACCTTTTCTTCTTCCGTTTATGCAGAGACATGGGCCTGGACTAACGTTTCAACAAGACAATGCTCGACCCCATACAGCAATTGCTACCCAGAATTTTTTAAGAAATGCCGGTGTCCAAGTCCTGGATTGGCCGTCGCTTAGCCCCGACCTTAATCCTATTGAACACATCTGGGACTACTGGGTCGACGTGTTCGTCAGCAAGTGAATCCACCACTGACGTTGCAGGACCTTCAACATGCTCTTGCTGAGCAGTGGCGACGTCTTCCTCTGGTAGTGTTTACTAATGTTCTGAGATCCATGAGAAGACGTTGTGTGGCAGTACGAGACGCTAGAGGAGGCCACAACCGTTACTAAACACTTTATTCCGATTGTTCTCCAAGTCTGTGAATTTCATTTTGGGGGGTACTGTGACATCACGAACATTATCAATGTCTAGGAATTTCGGCGAGACGTATTCTTGCTTTCTGTTGATGTCAAGGTCGTATGTGCACAACATAACACTAAAATAGTTGCCTTAAACCAAATATTAAAAATCTAGTCCCAAAAATCCCGAGTGTCAAGTTTTTAATTTGGCTGAGTATATGTTATTATGGTTTGTGGCAATCGGTCGATCAAGTAGATGAAGGAATGGGCCAGTTAGCTGGCAATGAGAAGGAACTGAGATGTGTTTTACAAGCTCAACTTAAATTTAGAAAATGTGTTCTTAACCAGAAAAATTGGGATAAGCAGATATTCAACTTTTCCAAAAAAACAACAGAGTGGAAAATATCGTAGATTAACTATTAATGAATTAAAGGGTAATTTGTGTCAGTTAGTTCAGACTGCTTTGGACACGGGCTCAAAATCAAAAATTACAGCTCCAAATCTGCCCCTTCTTGTGAACAACACAATTGAACACAAGTTTGATGATGGCAAATTTTATAGGAGATTCGTCATAAATGTTGTCCCAGGATTTCCCCATTGGTATAATATCAAATATGAAAACGATGAAGCAATCTATTCTTTTAATTTACACGAAGATTACAAGCGGGGAGACTTGAAACTTGTTATCCTTAAAGATTAAAGATGTTGCGAAACTACAATATCGATGTGTTTTATGAATTTCTACCTTTTTGTCGATTGTGTGCAATCAACATTTCATCACTGTATCTTTGATTTTTGAAAATCTACCTCGCCGTACAATCACCTTTATTATCTGTATTGGGTGAAAGGCAAAAGCTCCTTTTATTTGGATGCAATAAGTATTTGAATTGCTCTATTTTGATCAAGAAAATGAAATGAACTGGGGTTTAACGTCCTTGGGTTCTGCACCAACTGGGCTAATCGACACCTGCATATACCATACAATGTGCTATGAGGGACATTTTGCTCGAAAAGTAGCATTATGCCTACTCTTATATTGAATTGCAAATGCCAAGGGTTCTTTTATGTGTACACAGGACCATCCGAACGACTATACATGGTTCTTTGCCAGACCCAGGCCCTCCGTCCTACAGGGGGATCACGTGGTTAAGTGGGTAAGACGCTAGCTCGCTAGCCTGGAGGTCGGGTGTTTGATCCCTGCATTGGCCGAGAAAGTTCATCCAGATTTTCCGGCGTGGTTCTCAGTGATGCAGGACGGAGGGGCTGACAAGGAAAGCTGTCTAGTCGTTCGGATGGGACGAAAAACCGAGGTCCCGTGTACACATAGGCGTGCACGTAAAAGATCCCTTGGCAGTTGGAATTCGATATAAGAGTAGGCCGTAGTGCCGCTGTCCGGGCAAAATTTCCCTCATAGCACACTGTATGGCGTATGCCCGTCTTCATTAGCCCAGGTTAGGAGCAGAACAGTAGGACGTTAAACTCCATTTCATTTCATTTCATTTCCGTCCTACAGCATTCCGGAATCACCCCGGAAAACTTTTTTTTTATGTGATTTTGATAGTTATTACTTTTTATATTATAACATCGAAGGTTGATATTTTTTATGTTTTATTTATAATAATTATTTTACCCTTGTTAAGTTTATGCAAGCAGTATTAATTGTGTGATTTCTTTCTAAATTTTTGTTTTATATGTACCTTAGATGTTGGTATTGTATTTATTGCTACAATATTTTATTGTTTCTAATTTAACTTCCCTTAAATTAAATTTTTTGAAAAATTATCTCTTGGATTACTTTCTCATTTGTTGATGATCAAATGACAGCCATATGGAATCTGTTGAGTGTGCTGTGTGTGGGGGGGGGGGGAACTTAAAATTTGCCAAAACAGTGGCACAACAGACTACTCTTATTTGGAATACAACTGTCAAAGGTTCTTCTATGCGCACACGGGACATCAGTTTTTTCTGACTTACCAGGTACCCCGTCATACATCCAGGGGGAGGCTGGTGTGTATTACACAAAAAATGAACTTGTTCGGTCAATGCAGGAATTGAACACGGCACATCCAGTTGAGGGAGCCAACGTCCTACCCACTGAGCTACCGTGGCTCCGTTGCCAGAAAAGAGAATGGGCTAGATGAGTATGGGATGTCCAGTGCTCAATCGCCAGAGAACCTGACAATGATAAGTTGAATGCAAAACAAGGTCGTACGTACGGATTGGCGGCGCACATTTTATCATTTAGACTTTTATGTACATTTGAATTTTATATTGATTCAATTTATGTTTTTGTAAAGCGCCTCTGAGCATTGCTCTGCAGTGGAAGACGAGCGCTGTATAAATATCGTTTTAAGAATAATAATAATAATAATTAAAGATCCCCAGATACCTACAAATCGAGGAGCAGTGTAGGAAGTTGTTATAAGGATAATTCTGTCGGCATAAAGCAATAACCAAAATTTGAGCTCCATCATATGTGAATTCTATCTTTAAAAAAAATGTCTTCAATACAAATTAACCAAATTTGGGGTTTTTGTCCATGTTGAAGACCCCATATCAAAACAAATAAATTATATAGCCCAAATTAAAAAATTCCAATAGATAGTTAATGGTCGGAAGGATATTTCCTGAAATTTTGAGTCCAATATCTTCAATAGTTGCTGAGAAATGGTCTTCGGTCACTTTTTTTGCATAAAAACCAAGTTAATTACATCTACTTAAAAGCGACCAATTTAATAATGAATCTTGATATCGAAGTGCGTCTTCATATACAGATATGAGTTACTCGGACTGGAGATAGTCCAAGTCGTATTTTAGACGTAACGAACGCTGATAAAATGGCGGCAGTCTGTTTCAAGCAGGTTAGTGTTAATTCCACAATCTGTTTCACCAGTTCCAACTAAACAGAACAAAATGTCAAATCGTTTCAGTTAAAGTAAGTGCATGTTTTCGACATGAAGGTGAGATGTTTAATCAAATATACTGTTTAAACAGCATTAATTTTGAAATTGAAGGACCCGCCTGTATAATCGGGGTTATCCAGTCTTACCAAACTTAGTTCCCGTATCCTAGATAACAAACCTTACCTCTCAACCCTCCGTGTTTCGAGATAAGAGATGATGCTATTACCTTCAATGTAGCACATGCGGGAGTGATTCGCACCCGGCATTTGTAAACAAAATTGACAATATTTTTAATCAAAACAACGATTGGTTATTGTAATTTATAATATTTCTGCGACACCCAACTACAATTAAGCATATAATCCTACCTGGAACGGGTACAAATCCTCTCTTTTTAAATCAAAGCGACAGTAGATTGCTTTTTCCGACATTTTAAATTTACGTTTGTAACACATAAAGGCGGGGCCTCGTGTGGAATTTCCAATCAAAGTACCCATCTTATCAGAGTTGCGCAGTAGTAATACGGCGTAATTATGAACGTCCGAATCAATTTTGATAAAAACAACGCTTGATTTACTTTATTGTCAATATTTGCTGATAAGTGAATGTTGTTTCAGTAGATTGGACTGCGTATGTGTAATAAGTACTAATAGTATAAAATTAACTTATTTTTAAGATGGTACACTACATACATTAATAAAGAAATTAACTATTGAGTTTGCCACTTGGAACTAAAGGCATCCAATCGTAGCTAAAAACAAGCACATCAGTATATCTCAGTGTTTTTAGTTACGTTCTCGTAGCTACCCGTATCCCTACACTGGAGGTATAAAACCTGTCACCCATCTTGTCTGCGATATCACCTTGGTGGAAGCGGACGTTAAATAAAGCTATTTCACACACACTTGTCTGCGATATCACCTCGGTGGAAGCGGACGTAAAATACAACTAACTCACAAACGCTATTCGGTACACAGTTTTTTCTACATGCTTACAAAGGTAAATTACTTAGTTTATGCGGACGCTTTACATGCCAAGTGGGACTTCGAACACCCTCGACACTATAACATTGACTGTAATATTGCAGGCTATTTCAATATGATACATCTGACCATTCTAGTAGATTAATATTAGATCCTTTAAAGCCCCACACTCTAGAACATGGTTTTATCATTTCAAGGAACTCAATAACAAGTTATTAGCAACTGAGAATGATAAGTTCTAGTAAATGCTGGGAATATTATAATAATTACAATGACAATTGGGACTGTTATGTAAACTGTCAATTCAATGACCCAATTAAAGATTTTGAGGTTAGGAAAGCTATAAATAAAATTAAATCAGGCAAATACCCTGGCTCTAATGGAATACGCATATCCTTATTTTAATCATATGTTGATTTGCGTCTCTCCTCTCTTAACTGCCAATTTTCCACATCACTCCACTAAGATAAAACAATACAACCTAAAAATATTCCAATTATTTAATTAATTATTAGGTCTATTTTTTTATATTTCCAGAGAAAGGAGAACAGCTGAAAATGTCAAAACATTCTGTCTCCAAAAAGAACAATAGGTGTGATGTTTGTGGTAAATCATTTGAAAGCATGTCTAGTTTAAGTAGACACTTGATGATTCATACTGGTGAGAAGCCATATAAATGTGATGTTTGTAGAAAATCATTTATCAACAGTAATAATCTACATGTACACACCAGAACTCATACCGGTGACAAACCCTTTTCTTGTGATGTTTGTAGAAAATCATTTACACAAAGTGTTAATCTACAGCAACACACCAGAATTCATACTAGAGAAAAACTCTTTTCTTGTGATGTTTGTAGTAAATCATTTACCACTAGTAGTAATCTACATGTACACATCAGAACCCATACCGGTGACAAACCCTTTTCTTGTGATGTTTGTAGTAAATCATTTACCACTAGTGGTAATCTACATATACACACTAGAATTCATACTGGTGAAAAACCCTTTTCTTGTGATGTTTGTAGTAAATCATTTACCACTAATGGTAATCTACGTGCACACACCAGAACTCATGCTGCTGATTAAACTCTTTTGTTAGGACATCATTTATCTGTAATTTTTATCTACCAAGCCACATCTGAACCAATAGTGGAGAAAAAAATCCTGTAATTACAAACAAAGAACTACAAAAGGTGTACAAAAGATGTACAAAAAAGGTCATCACAAACCTGCCAGAATCGCCTGTAAAACTAAACAGTGTGAGGACATTTCTCCAATATTGGCTTCCTTATTGATAATCGAAACTTCATTGAAGAAATATTTATTCATAGGTTGTGTCTGGCTAGTGGTGCCATGGTGTTAAACTGTGGCTGGCTTGCTAGCCTGGAGGTCGGGTGTTTGATCCCTTCATTGTCCGAGAAAGTTCATCCAGATTTTCCTGCATGGTTCCCCCTTGTCAGTGATGCAGGACAGGGGGGTCTGAAAAGGACAGATGTCTAGTCGTTCGGATGTTACGAAAAACCGAGGTCCCATGTACACATTGGTGTTAACGTAAAAGATCCCTTGACAGTTGGAATTCGATACAACAGTAGGCCGTAGTGCGGATGTCGGGGCAAAATTTCCCTCATAGCACACTGTATGGTGTATGCCCAGTTCGGAGCAGAACAGTAGGACGATAAACCACATTTCATTTCACCTAAACATTGGTTGTACAGGACTGAACCCAAACACTTTGAACATACTGTACGTACTCTCTGTGGAATATCCTCTATAATTTAGTATAAGTGACATTATTTTTATCAACAGGAAGACACTTCATTATAATACATCATTATCCACCTGAGATATTCCACTTGAAATCACAAACTATAACCCTTATTAAAGGAACTAAGTCGCTTATATTTTGGACCTAGAAATTGACAAAAATGGGTTGCAACGCATATAATAATGTAATATGAATGTATATAAACTGATTTACATTCAGTCGTTTCTGTTTTTACTGTAATTTCGAATCAGTTATGTGCGACGAAATATGTGAGAAGCTTCAATCGAATGGCATTCTCTTGCATCTGGTTATTACAGTCTACACCGGTAGTATTTATTGTGCATGCTCTCCAGATAAGAATATGGTGTCACCGTTCTTTGTGTCCTTTGTTAGAAATGGCGCTAAAACGCATTCTGATACACGATTCGTGTACTAATGTAGTAATAATAATATAGATGGCAAGATTTGTGAAAAACAACCCATATGTACATGTATAATATTATTATGACCTTGACTAATTATTGTATACAGATTCATAGACAAGTAAAACTAGAGATAGATAGATAGAGAGAGGGTTTAAGTCCACTCGACACAAACTAGGTCATTTCGGGACTAACATATGCCATAATTTTATTTTAATAATTTGCTTGATCGTAGCGGTCTTTAGCAGTGGGAGGAAACCAGAGGACCCAGAGAAAACCCACGATGTTGGACAGACGACCCTACTCCTTGTTACGTACAACCAGGGAATCGAAACCACGTCAGTTGACTCAATGACAGACCTTATGATGAAGCTGGCACACACTAACCATTCGGCCATCCACCCCCACCCCCCATACTTCAAACAGCTTTATTTATTTATTTTTCTAATACTTCTAAAAAATGTTTTAGAATTTGATTTACAGAAGGAAAAATGTATATATTGTGAGCTAATTAACTCACATTGATGTTCGCCCTCTCGTTGATTGTAGCACTCTGGAGAATATTTACTACTTGTCATACACAGATCACTGTTTTATGGAATACAATTACTGCTTATTACTGAGTGACGCTTTGACTTGGTTCCTCTAGTCATTATCAAGCAAGCCTAGTCGAAACGTCACTCAGTAATAAGCAGTAATTGTATTCCATAGAATTGTCACCTGTATACTCCTGTTCAATTATCAAATGTTATTGAAACAATTCACTGCTGATCAGTTTGTTCAATTTGAAAGATGTTTTTAGGTCATCAGATACAGGAATGAGTTACTCGGGTTGTAGCGGGTCCATGCTACGTTTTTGACCAACCCAATACTTTTAAAATGGCGGCCATTGTTTCCAGACGGCCATAACAATATTTTGTTAATTTGATAAGGTACTTGTATAGCTCACGATGATGTCATATATGTAACAGGTATTGCCGGAGTAGAGCGATTGTTAACTGTCAAATATATAACCTTCATAATTAAAGATACATTATGGAAGATTAAATAATGGCAGTTCTCACTATAATAAATAATGTAAAGTGAATTTGCTGAATATTTCAGTCAAAATGATCCACTCGGAACCGAGAATTTAGCGATTGAATTTTCGACCTAGCCTTGATCATCATTGCTGAAGTCGGTACGATAAAAAAACATAGTCTTGATTATCCATTTCATGATCAAATCATGAATGAAAGTTGAGCAGCAAATCTGATCCTAATCCAGTAAATATCGCAGGCTAATGATGACATCAAGAGTTGATTATGGTCTGGATAAGTTAATTAATGTCTAATTAATAATTTATTTAACATTTCAGGCCTAAAGAAAGACTTGTAATTAAATTTCTCAAGTGATACAAGTAATGTTAAATAATTTCTTTTTTCCGAATTGATTTTAATTTAGATCTAAACAGTCTTTGAGTGACAGTTTCAGTTACGTTCCTGTATTACCGGAAGAGAGCTTTGCTCAAGCACTGCTCTTTGTGTGATGCTTCAGAGCTTCGCTCTATAAGTATATTATTTAATTTTGGAATATAAATTTGATAAACACTACATGTACCTTTAGCATTCTTGCCAGGTATATTCGACATATTGTAGGTTCGTTCAATTTCAAGGTTGCCGTAGAGGTAGCCATGTTTGATTTGAATGTGTTTGTGTCACAACCTCGTTAACATGTCTGCGTTAACACTAGGGACCGGGTATCATTCATATTTGATGAAAAAAGGAAAGAAACTGAGCTTACCATCTATAGTCTAATACACATATTCAGTTAATAGATTGCCATGCAGAAAGTGTTAAATACCATCAAGATTCATCAAGAACCGCCCAGTTTGTGCTACCGTTTAGTTTGACATCGGTTGTTTAGTTTATGAAACTAAATGGTCATAAACTGGATGACCAATATCAAAACTAAACTAAATGGTCATAAACTAGATGACTGATGTCAAAACTAAATGATGTTTCTTAAACTAAACTGTAGCACAAACTGGGTTGTTTTTGATGAATCTTGATGGTATTTAATACTTTCTGCATGGCAATCTATTAACTGAATATGTGTATTAGATTATAGATGGTAAGCTCAGTTTCTTTCCTTTTTTCATCAAATCTGAATGATACCCGGTCCCTAGTGTAAATGGAGAGAACATTGCTATGAGTTTGTGAATTACAGACCAACCTAGAAATGTCTACATGTTGTAAAAACCGCGATGGTTGTTTTAGGAACATGAATTTAGGTGGTTGACTTGAATTCCAATGAACTAATCAATCGTTTATAGTTCACGGAGACGAGATCATCTGGAAAATTTTTTCATAATTTAATTGCCACAAACGCGTTTTCCTGCCATTCCAGCCCCTGAATACGGTAACTTCAATGTGGTCCAATGTAGCCTACATGTACCTTAGGTGGCTGACCAGAATCTAAAACGATCGATCAATCGTCGCAGGGTATGGGAGCCTCACCCCCTGCAGAAAATTAAGCTGCATTTACAAAAATAATCGAAAATGTCGCACAAAGTAGAGCGACTCCAGGCTGTCCATATTCAATTCAGTACAGATTTGTGGTATTCAATTAAAATAAAAGTAAAATTAGTGTTTTATTAGATTTTGGGCACTTTGTTTTGCCAACTAGATGCAATAACAATTTTTGTTTTCACTTTACCTGTCTGCCCGAAAAGTCAGATTGCCCGAAAATTAGGGGGCAGCTGCCCCTCCTGGCTCAGATGCCTATGCCCAAATCCACCCTTATTTCAACTTATAAGACAATATGTATGTATATTCACACATCAAAAATGTGGTATCAAATTATCCAGCATGACCCTGTGAATGTTTTAGGCCATCACTAAGGCAGCAAATAACCACAGGGTTTTAAGATTAAATAAAAGTAAATTTTCAATCTTGCAGTGTCTGTAAGTTGTCCAATTTTAAGTTTGAAAAATAGAAAAAGCACGAAAGTACATGAGGGGACTCTAAACCAAGAAACGTTACAATATACGTCATTGGTTACAATCAACTAAATTAACAATAGAATTGCGTAAAGAAGTATTTCTTTTCATGGCTTCATTGATAAATAAGTGAATGAATATTGTCACGTGAATGTCTATTTTGGGTAAATGTTAGGGCGGAACTAGCTGGTCAGATTTTATTAGCACAAATATTTGAGGCTGTGAACCACCAAAATAATAACAAGAACAGCCAGCTCTTCATATAATGGAATAATTCTTGCATGATGTATCTTTGAGAACGGCTAGCTAGTCATCTAATTCTTCCATAATGTATATTTAAGGACGCCAGCTTTGTCTCTAAATCATCCATAATGTATGTGGGGCCAGTTGCTAAAAACACTTAACTTTAACGGAATGAATGCCTGTTATTAGATACTACCATTACCAATGATAACTATTGTGTATTCAATATAAATATTGTAACATAGTTACTATTATTGTTATACATGTATGTATATTATAGACTCTTAAAAAAAAATAGGGGGATATTGAAATGCGAATACCTATGCAGGTTGTGATATGATAAATAGTCATGAACACTTGACATGCTTTGAGAGTATGTTCACAGATGAAGAACTTATTGCCCCAACAGAACCACTGATCTGTGACATGCAATAGCACCATGCACGGGGGAGGGGTTCATTGTCAAATATGACACTTCAAGGAAGGATTGATGAAAACTGCCGCGTGCTGGTTTATCTATCCATGTTAGCATTCCTATCGGTTCTTGCATAACATTTACTGTTTAGCGTATCTGTGCTTTAGTGTGTTACGTTTAATTTGATCGGGAGACGTGTTCGTCAATGTCAACCGACAACACTGCAAGAATTGGCCGTGGCACTGCAAGAGGAGTGGGTCAGATTGCCCCAAATCGTGATTGGACAGTTAATTAGGAGCATGCCACAACGAATTGCTGAATGTCTGAGGATTGGTGGAGCAATTACTGATTATTAAGACAAAAATCAAAAACGTCGATTTTCACTTTTGACGGGGTATCTCTTTGCGAGTGAAATGAGGCCCGTCAGATAAGCCGTCTATATGAACTGTTTACGTTCATGTGTAGGCAATTGGCTTGTTATTAACATACACTGGTTACCTCTAATAAAAACAACAGTGCATTTCTGCAGTTTTATATTATATTCTACTTTTTTTGAAGAGTATATATTGATTTTTTGGCAACCTCTTATTCTATGTGTTGTTAACAGATAGAAATGAGGTTTAACGTCCTACTTTTCTGTTCCGACTGGGCTAATGAAGACAGACTTACGCTATACAGTGAGCTATGAGAGAAATTTTGCCCAAAGATCTTGGTTCCTTTTGATATTCGCGCATATTGGATCGTAACTTCCTGAATTATGGCCCCTGATTGTATGAAAAAACGTGTTTTTAGCTTGTGGTAAACAATCTGTTTCAGCTATTTTGATGATGGCCAATCTCCACCTCACTCCACTTAAAAAAATATTCCAGCTAAAAATATTCAAAATATGTAATTAATTATTAAGTCTAGTTTTTTTTTATTTTCAGAGAAATGAGAAAAGCTACAATGTCAAAACATTCTGCCGCCAAAAAGAACTATAAATGTGATATTTGCGGTAAATCATTTAAAGACAATTATCATTTAAGTAGACACATTATGATTCATACTGGTGAGAAGCCATATAAATGTGATGTTTGTAAAAAATCATTCAGACTAAAAAGTGATTTGAAATCACACACTAGATTCCATACCGGAGACAAACCCTTTTCTTGTGATGTTTGTAAAAAATCTTTTACCACTAGTAGTCATCTACGTCGACACACCAGAATTCATACTGGTGAAAAACCCTTTTCTTGTGATGTTTGTAGTAAATCATTTAACACTAGTGGTGATCTACATAGACACATCAGAATTCATACTGGTGAAAAACCCTTTTCTTGTGATGTTTGTAGTAAATCATTTGCCCGTCGTAGTAATCTACATGTACACACTAGAGCACATACTGGGGACAACCTCATTTCTTGTGATGTTTGTAGCAAATCATTTACCACTAGTAGTAATCTACAACAACACACCAGAACCCATACCGGTGACAAACCCTTTACTTGTGATGTTTGTAGGAAATCATTTACCACTAATGGTAATCTACGTGCACACACCAGAACCCATACTGCTGATTAAACTCTTTTGTTAGGACATCATTTATCTGTAATTTTTATCTACCAAGCCACATCTGAACCAATAGTGGAGAAAAAAATCCTGTAATTACAAACAAAAGATGTACAAAAAAAAAGTCATCGCAAAGCTGTTAGAATGGCCTGTAAAACTAAACAGATAGAAGACATTTCTCCAAAACACGATTCATGTACCAATGTAGTAATACTGATGGCAAGATTTGTGAAAAACAATACATATGTATAATAATATACTATTCAAAAAAAGTAGGGGATATTTGATTTTTAAGTGTTATTAAAGTCACCTAATGAAACTGACGAAGAAACAAATGACAAAATGAAATGAAGTTCACATTCATCGATTTATTCCAAATGATCGTTAGACTAAGTAAGGCACAGACTGACCATTATAAGGGTAAAATGATACCCGGGGTCAAACAGCAAAGTTACCACAGCATCACAACCAAGTCAGTAACGGGTAAATCCTCCTCTGTTTTCCAAACAAGCATTGATCCGACGTGGCATGCTCCTAATGAGACGTCTAAGGTCATTTTGGTCCAGATTGTCCCATTCCTGTTGCAACGCAGCAGCAAGTTCTTTGACATTGGCAGGACGTTGTTGACGTTGAGTAACCTCTGTCCAAGCATGTCCCAGACATGCTCGATGGGGGAGAGGTCGGGACTCAGTGCTGGCCAAGGTAGTGTGGTGATGTTCTGTTGTTGGAGGTAACCTGTAACGATCCTGGCCCTGTGACATCTTGCGTTGTCATCCTGGAAGATGAAACGGCGACCATGACGTCGTGCGAACGGCACAACATGGACTGCCAAGATGTTGTCCCGGTAGTACTGGCCTGTAACATGCCCTGCAACAACATGTAAAGCCGTTCTTCCAGCAACAGTGATGCCTCCCCACACCATAACAGAACCACCCCCAAATCGATCATGTCTGATGACGTTAACGTCTTGGAAGCGCTCGTTTCGACGACTCCACACCCTCCTACGTCTGTCCAAAAAATCAACAGTGAACCTTGACTCATCTGAAAACATCACATTGCTCCAGCGTCGATTATCCCAGTGTTGACGATCCCTACACCAACGACGTCTTGCCTGAATGTGATGATCTCTCAAACAAGGGATCACGCGAGGACGTCGAGCGCGAAGGTGACCCCTATGCAGTCGATTCCGAATCCTCTGGCCACTCACTCTCACACCAGTGTCTGTTTGAAGACGAGCGCTGATCTGATTTGCTGTGATGACACGATTTCTCAAGGCCAAGGTACGGATAAATCGATCCTGGGCTTGAGTTGTCGCCCTTGGTCGACCTGAGCGTGGTCTGTCCTGTACAGATTGTGTATCACGGTATCTGGACCATGAGAAACATTCATCGTCCGCGCCACAACCGCCTGTGTTGTGCCGATCTGTAGCATGCCAAGGGCACGTAACCTTTCATTTTGGGTAAGCCGACGCATATCAAAATTTGTTTTCTGGTCACTAAAACAATTAAACTGATGTTTCCACCCTGGAATTCAATGCCACAATGACTGTAACATTCAAAGTCAGAGTCGTGCAAATCTTGGGTTGGACCCCCATGATGATCCCAAGCATCACCTGCATTCCATGCGGTAGCTATTGGTGCGTTTGGGCGTCACATGTAACTGGAAATGTTTCTTCTGTTAGGTTCTATAGTGACTTTTTTCGTAGTCATTTGCATATTTTAGTATTATGCCCCCAAAATCAAATATCCCCTACTTTTTTTGAATAGTATATTATGATCTTGACTTATTATTGTTAACAGATTCATAGACAATCAAAGCAGCACGTGACACAACGGCAATCTGTGATATTATGATACATGAATTGAACTATAGGTTAATAAACACAACCATCATATATCATCTTCATGATAAACATACTAATGGTAATGAAATGTGTTTGTTGACCAAATAAGGTAACAATCCCTGTTGGTATGCAAGGTATGAGGCATGTCCATTCCATATTTGGCTAATTTTTGACGTCAGTGGGCATGAGTGACCAATCACATAATTGATTTCAGAAGTCTAGGCATAGAAAATGACAGATCTATGCGACCATTACTTCAAACACCATGTAGAATTATATAGAGGAGATGTAAATTTGTTTGGAGATGTGTCCGTCAATAAACTCATTCTTCAAAATGGTGGGGTTGAGAGAGTAGAGAATGACTCTGTTTTAATCTATGCTTGTAACCTATGTATTCAGTGCTTGACATAAAAATGTAGAAACAAACTATTGTATTGTTATTCCTGTGTGAAACCATGATGAGATATAATAAGCTGTTAATTCACAATGATTAAAGTGGAGTCCTAAGAAAAGAATTACAAATATAACCAGTGACAATACTAGACGATCACAAGCCTAATAAAATGTGTAGCAGAGGAGAGAGTATGTGTTATACGTTGGATGTGGGGAGGTTTTTTTGGCTTATTTCACTTTCCACATCTAACCAGCGACAGGGGGATTGGATGGCCGAATGGTTAGCATGTGCGCATTGTATCATAAGGTCTGTCATTGAATCAACTGGTGTGGTTTCGATTCCCTGGTTGTATGTGACAAGTAGTATAGTCGCCTATCCAACCTCCTGGGTTTTCTACGGGTCTTCTGGTTTCCTCCCACTGCTAAAGACCCCTACGCGCGAGCAAATTATTGAAATAAAATTGAACCATATGTTAAACCCTAGTTTGTGTCAAGTGGAGTTAAACCGTGTGCTATGGGGGAAATTTTGCCCGGGCAGTGGCGCTACGGCCTACTCTTATATCAAATTCCAACTGCCAAGGGATCTTTTACGTGCACGCCAATATGTACACGGGACCTCAGTTTTTCGTCCCATCCCAACGACTAGACAGTAGTAATCTACATGTACACACCAGAACTCATACCGGCAAAAAACCCTTTTCTTGTGATGTTTGTAGTAAATCATTTACCACTAGTAGTCATCTACATCAACACATTAGAACTCATACTTGAGGAAAAACTTTTATTCACCTACATTTTCATGTGGACGTATTATGCTGCTGGCCCTGTCTTTTCCCTCCGGACGTCCCTCCATCCACAATTTGTTTCTGGACACTCTACAGATCACAATTTTTATTCGATTTTAATGAAACTTGAAATATAGGTCTATCTCCCAACGATCTTGGTTCCTTTCAATATTGGCATGTATCGGACCATAACTTCATGGATTATGGCGCCTGATTGTACGAAAAGTTACTTTTTTAGCTTGGGGACACTCTAGAGGTCACAATTTTCTTCTGATTTTGATGATTAAACTTGAAATACATGTTTATAACCCAAAGATCTTGGTTCCTGTCCATATTCGCATATATTGAATCGTAACTTCCTGAATTATGGCTCCTGATTGTACATAAAATCACTTTTTATACACCCACATTGAAATGTGGTCGTATATTGTCATCGCCCCCGTCCGTCCGTACGTTGTTTAAGGCCATGAGACGAAGAAGCTTATTGATTTTCAGTGATTTCCGATAATTACTGCCAGAGTTATGGCCCTTGATCACTTAAAAAAATCTTGTGGACGCTCTAGAGGCCAAAGTTAATATCCGATTGACTTGAATTTAATACACAGTGTTTAAGGTCATGAGGCAAAGAAGCCTATTGATTTTCAGCGATTTCCGATAATTACTGCCAGAGTTATGGCCCTTGAACACTAAAAAAATCTTGTGGACGCTCTTGAGGCCAAAGTTAATATCCGATTGACTTTAAATTTATACACGATTTAGCTGTTGTGGGCGTATGTTTCGTTGCCTGGCAACCTATCTTTTAACTTGTGGTCCCTCTAGAGGTCACAATTATTATCTGATTTAAAAAAAAAACTTTTGAATATATCACCATTACACCCTAATGACGATTGAGTTCAAATTTTGTGAAAATCAGACCAAAACTGCCGGACGAAATTTCTGCCCCTCGTACGCAAATAGTGTAAAATATATGGTATATCAAGGTTGATGAAACTTAAAATATATCTTTATATCCCAAAGATCTCAGTCCCTTTTGATATTCGTGCATTTTAGACTTCTTGGACTATGGCCCCTGATCATGCGAAAAATCATGAGGGTTTTTTTTTTTAGCTTGTTCTATATCCATCTCTTGCAAAGTGTGGGTGTATCTTGCGGCAGCGGCTGGTTTTTTACTTCCATAAACCAGGAACATCTTTATATAAAAATTTTATTATTTATTTACAGATGATTAGAAACGAACAACTTTTGATTTATTTTGGCAGATATTACAATTAAATGAATCTTCAGAAATGAACAAGAACAAATACAATCTAAACAGAAGAAGTTCAAAGGAGCTTAATTGCTATCCTTTGGTAACTTGAAATGACCACAAATTGGTCGGAATGCATATAATAATGTAATATGAATCTATATAAACTGATTGGGTGCATGCGGTTTCGTACTTAGTTCATTTGTTCCTCAAATTGATTTGTTCTTTTTCCTTTATGTTGTTAAAATAAATTGAAATAAGTTGAAATAAAAAACAATTGAAAAAAAAACAAATAAACAAACACTGCTACTTGCCTTTTGTTGTATTTAATCTGGTGTTGATTATTGAACTCATTCTGCTGGGGGATCGGTGATTGTTAACTTTAAAAGGTCATGCAGCAGCACAAACAGACTGAGTGTGGGTGGTGGAAGGGGCAACAGGAAACAGACTGAGGGTGGTGGGATGGGTAAAGGGATACAGACTGAAGGTAGGTGGTGGAAGGGGTAAAGGGATACAGACTGGGGGTGGGTGGTGGAAGGGTAAAGGAAAACAGGCTGAGGGTGGGAGCCTTGGTGTTGAACTCTTATTATACAGAACTGAATCCCAAAGACTTTAAACACACTGTACTCTGTGTGTGTTATGTTTAATGGGGCCTTGAACTGTCATCATACTGTACTCTCTTCTATGTTATTTAGTCGTGTTTATTAACAGGAAGACCCAAGAACTTGTAATATACATGTACATGATTATCCACCAGAAATATTCTACATGACATCAAAACCTTATTAAAATAATGTTTATTTACACCTGTGAAGGATTGTAACCTGGTGGCTTAATTCCTTAGATTCGATAACGAGTTGGCAGTTCTCATTATAATAGTTAAAAACTAGATAACGTAAAGGCAATTTGCTGAAAATTTCATTCAAATTGATCCACTACGAACCCAGAACTAAGCGAATGAAATTTCCGTCTAGCCTTGTTCATCATTACTAAAGTCAGTACGATAAACAGCATAGTCTCGATTTTCCGTTTAATCGTTAAATCGTGAAGGAAAGTTATGCAGTAAATCGGCTCATAATCCACTACAGGTCACAGGCTAGCCATGCCATCTAGAGTTGATTATGGTCTGGATAGGTCAATTAATGTCGAATTAATAATTTAGATAACATTTCGTGCCTAAAGAAAGACCTGCAATAGACAGATTTAGCTCTTGTATAATGTATGTTTAAACATGCCTTCAGTTTGATTTGATGATATATTTGGATTAAAAATATATTCAAACTAATTAATCTATCAAAAGTTTGCTTCACATCACAAAATATTAACTTTTTTCTTTCGACAAATTAAATTCTGAAACATTTTTTTTTAGTATTAGAAAAATGAATAAAGGTGTTTGAAGTATATCTTGATAAAAAATATTCCATATTTAGCGTAAATAGGTACAGAAAATAGTACGCGGAGGCGTAAAATGGGTAAAACGATATAATTTTGCCCGTACCAGTTCATATTACTACGTTCGATGTAAACAACGCACGTGTGACCATCAATTTGACGTTTTTTTCTGTTTGTTTACTCTGGAATTATTTCAGAAGTACATTTTTTACCGTCTTATCTGATTGACCGGCCCGTGTTTGTTCTACAGACCTAATGCGACATCCGTCTTTTATCTCTGTCCAAGATGACTGACCTTTAAAAGGTCAGACCGCTGTAGTTCTAAGGGTGACGTCACATCACAATGTTTACCAACAAAGCAAGATGGCATCAATAACGCCAAAAAAGATTACTTCTGTGGCTTGTTTTTGTTGTTTTAAAACAAACACGAGCAGGTCAATCAGATTAGACGGTAAAAAATATTTGCTTGGCCGCGACAGTCACTGATAAGGATGACATTGATGCGGCTTAATGAGCTAGAAATATTAACTTTTTTCCTGCGACAAATTAAATTCTAAAACATTTTTTGTATATATTGGAAAAATAAATAAAGGCGTTTGACGTATTTGTAGGTAAAAATTATTTCCGATTTAGTGTAAATGGGTATTAAATTGACTAAAATGCAGCATTCTCTCCGAAGCAGTTATGTCTTATGTAAACAATGCACGCGCCATTCAGCCAATGATTCACACCGCGTGCTGTGACAGCACGTGTTAAGGCAGTCATCTATGACAGAGATATTATACGAGACTCGTAATTCTCTGTGAAACAGAATGATGTCCAGCTTGTATTTGACATTAGTCACTGACAATCTACTGTAAATATCGAAGGGTATAGAATCTACTGTAAATATCGAAGGGTAGGCAATTCTTAGGTTAACTAAGCTCTGCCAAATTCTTTTTCTGTCATTTAGTCCACAGAGAGAAATGAGGTTTGACCATTTCAATCATATGGTATCGTTTTATTACAATGTTGATTTTTTTGCATAATGGTGATTAGAAATTGGAGTAGGCCTAAAACGGAGTGAACAGAATAATCGCACGGATTTAATCCATATAACTACATTACCTGGAATCAAATTAAAACCCATAACAGCCCTTATGGTAAACAGTGATTGTTTTTTTTTATAGACCAAACGCAGTCAGTACAGGGTCAGCAATAATTTTGTAAATTTTAGCTGGTTTAATTTGATTATTTATTTTATATGCCATCAGATATGGAAATGAGTTACTCGGGTTGGCAACGGTCCACGCCATATTTTTTACTTTAAAATGGCGACAATTACTTCTGACAATGTAGCAGGAGTTTTGACGGACAGACAGACTATCCGGCAGTCCAGGTCGTGGGTAAAGTTGTATAGACTAGTTGACTCCAATTAACAATACAACAGTTTATTTCAGGACAAAATACACTTCATACACATAACAAAAACACCTAAGACAGGTGCTTTTTTTCCAGGAAAATAAAGATGATTTATAAAGTTATACACTTTATAGTCAACACAATACGAAACACTTGAAATAAATGATTAATTTGTGCTGTAATTAAGAAGAGCTGTTTAAAGATGGGTAGAAAATAGAAGAGTGAAGTTAGTAACCAAAATCAACAAAGCAGGTTTCCAAGGGAATGAAATCTACTCACTACCTTATAACAATAGCATTTTTAAACTTTAAACTAAAGTAAATATCACCACTGGAAAGAAAAGGCTAGCTGGATACTCAAGACAATAGAGACTGACTGAAATAGTTAAAGTGGCTATAACACCCTACTAAAATATTTAAAGGGGCTAAAACACCCTACTACAGCAAACAAGATTATTTCCTACTTTAAGTATAGGTACCTGCATAGAATTTCATTATGTATCACCATGATGTATTATGTAATGTTAGAATAATATGTAAGAGGCATTGCCTGAGTAGATCAAAACTGATGCGATTGTTGATAAATATAAAACCTTGTTATTAAAGTTACAATTTCATATTTTCTAAGAAAGTCAAAACATAATTATTTCTGTCTTTTGCTCAATAGGTTGTCAACTCACTATTATACGATCATAGGTGTCATTCTCACACTTAAAACTCATTTACACCGGAAATAATAACACAATTACCTCCCTTGTTTTCTATTCTCCACCATGGAGTAGCTATTTTCAAACGTTTGAATTTGAAGAGGAAAATGATATTTTTGCCAATTTCTCAACTGGCAATAGTGACTTATAGGATTAATAGGATTATTCTTTAACAAGGTAGGACTGTTTATAGATTATTTTAATAAATTTTAAAAATATAACTTAAAAATATGAAATTGCAACTTTAAGTTTCTCAACTGATACAGATAATGTTAAAAATTTAGTTTTTCCGAATTGATTTTAATTTAGATCTAAATTGTATGATTAATTTTGTTTTAAAAGAAATGGAACAAAAAAAGTGTGAGGATCATTTTCTTGATGTCAAAAATATGCGACGTCATTGATTAAAGCGTCCTAGAAATATTTCTATGAGACATGTAATCTCGTTTTGGTAAGGTGTCTGTGGGTGACAATTTTAGTAATCCTCCTGTGTTACTGGAAAAGAGCTTTGCTCAAGCACTGCCCTTTGCATGATGCTTTAGAACTTCGCTCTATATTCATAAAAACAGTCTAGACTGAGAATAAAATAATGGTTAATCAACCAATTTATACAGTCATTCATTCAATATTAAGTTGTAGATATACTCCATAAATTGATATCTATGTTTGTAGTAAATCATTTACCACTTGTAGTCATCTACGGCAACATACCAAAAGTCACACTGGAGAAATACCTTTTGCTTGTGATGTTTGTAAAAAATCATTTACCACTAATAGTCATCTACGTGAACATAAAAGATGTTTATAGAAAAACTGTTACCACTGGCTGTCTTGTATCAAAAAGCAAAGACATATAAATATAAATGTTTATTGAATTAAATCAATAAATATGATTGAGACATAAGTTGTTTGTCTGTGGTAAATAACCAGATGGTACTGTTACATACATGTAATAGAGATAAGGCACAGGTTACGATTTTATTATGTTATTATGAGGGGGGGGGATGTCCGAATGGTTAGCACGTGGTCGCTGTATCATCAGGCCTGTCATTGAGTCAACTGCCGGGGTTACGAATCCCTGGTTGTACGTGACAAGGAGTAGGGTCGCCTCTCCAACCTCATTGGTTTCCTCCCACTGCTAAAGACCCATACGCGCAAGCAAATTATTGAAATAAAATTAAACCATATATTAGTCCCAAAATGACCTAGTTTGTGCCGACGTTAAACCCCATTTCTCTCTCTCGTACCATGTATACTCTTCAAAAAAAAGTAGGGGATATTCAAAAACAATACAAAACTGTGGAAATGCACTGCTGTTTTTATTAGAGAGAGAGAGAGAAATGGGGTTTAACGTCCACTCGACACAAACTAGGTCATTTCGGGACTAACATGGTTTTAATTTTATTTCTATAATTCACTTGCGCATTGGGGTCTTTAGCAGTGGGAGGAAACTGGAGGACCCGGAGAAAACCCACAAGGTTGGACAGGCGACCCTACTCCTTGTCACGTACAACCAGGGATTCGAAACCATGCCAGTCGACTCAATGACAGATATTATGATACAGTGCGTGCTAACCATTCAGTCATCCAACCCCGTTTTTATTAGAGGTAACCAGTGTATGTTAATAACAGGCCAATTGCCTACACATTAACATAAATAGTTCATATGGGCGGCTTATCTGACGACCCCATTTCACTCGCAAAGAGATACACTGTCAAAAATGAAAATGGACATTTTTGATTTTTGTCTTAATAATGAGTAATTGCTCCACCATTCAGCAATTCGTTGTGGCATGCTCCTAATCAACTGTCCA